GTTTAAACGTATTCTTGACGTCCGAAATGAAATGTCAAATGCATGAGTATTGGGTTGGGGTTGCATGCACACCGTACGTGATACGTCCTTTGAATAAACTTTGTTAGTTAATTATGATTATAAAAGTTCTAAGTCGGTATATAAAATTACAAAATCAATAAATTAGTGACAAGACCTTCTAACTTGTTTTATGTCTTTATCAGAATCATGACAATAGTTAGAAGTATCCCTTAAGTATACATATTATAATAATTTTTCTGTATAAAACGAAACAAATTAAAGTCAATACTGCATCTTTAACAAAACCAAATAAAGAGAAGTCAATACTGCATCTTAGGCTTCACCTATTGGTTAATGATAACACGTATGATATTAAGACTCGTCCATTAAGCAGTTTTGGGCCTTACAAGGAATCTGTCCCTCCAAATGAATCAAGAATCCTCACAAATAAAATAAATTTTAACTTTTAAAGGAATTAGTATCAAATTTGTGTGTACGGCTTTTGGTCATTTCGATAGGACGATGAATTAAATTCGAATAAAAAGTGACTATTGAAGCTAATGAAAAGACCAAAGTTAGTGAGGAGGAGGCCATGGAACAAACAACAAAAAGCCTCTTTCATGGTTCACTTCCGTTGTCTTGTCTCCTTCAAGCCTACCACTTTCTATCTATATGATTTGACTTCAATAATTTGAGAAATCTATGGCTTATTAGGTGTTTCCATCATTATAATCTATTTGTTAACATATATAGTAGGGATCAACCTCGTTGTATCTTATTCGCTATTTCGCTTATACTATTAATATCAATGGAGTGATAATATACCTACGAGGAGGACACGTGCATAAACCTAGGATATGTGTATATTCTATGCACTAATTATGGCTCTGTCTTCCATTAGAGTATTAACTACGTAGCATACAAATTACATCTACACATACATGTTGTGACTTGTAATCTACGTGGAAACTATGTGTCCAAATGCCAATAAGCTAATCCATGAACACAAAGGCCAACTTATGAGTGTAATAAACTACTTATATTTTAGCTATGAATAATTTCGATAACCAAAGTATAATAGATTGTTATTGGGATCGATTATATTTCTATAATGCAAGTAGCACCCGCAATTTTAGTAACACCTTTTCATGTAGAGCAAAAGTCTCAACACTACGAAATCTAATTAAGCCAATTTGCATCAAATGGCCTCTGACCATCAATCGCAAAATTAATTTTCGTCCTCAAAGTAGCAAGTAATTATCAAACCTCCAAGCATATATATATTGAGACTCTATTTTTTTCTTTCCCTAAACACGATATGATGAAAAAGTGTATATAGATTTCACTTCTTTTCTTTCACCATTCAAGGATTTACAAGTTTGTTCATTGTTGTTCCAAAGTTGGAAGGTGTAAGCACTTATTGGTGAGCTCAAATTCTCATTTTTTGACTTCTTACTTATTCAATGTCATTTGTACCTTTTGAAATTAATTTGTGTAAAGAGGCTACTCGAGTATATTTTCTTGACATCATATCGTGTTATCGAGTTTCTTTGAATCCGTATGTGTTACGGGTTAGGTTCTTTTTCCTTAGATAAAAATAAATAAATGTTTTCATCGACAGCAACTAGATGCTGACTAGAGACCTTGTATGATCTACTTGTTTGGTGAGGATGTTTCCATATATTATCAATCGTAGCTACTCAATGTTCTAATCACGTTTAATTATTATCAAAGAATTATGAAATTTTTAAAGTTGTTGTTGTTGTTTCGATTCTCAAAAGTCAAAACAAAGCTAGTCCATATGCCGTTGTATCCTTTAATTGGGTTCTTTGTCGTTGTGCTTTAGGCATTGTCATTGTTGTCACAGCTACTGTATTGTCGTGATTATCGTTAGTTTGACAGTTCCATACTCTAATATGTGGACAAGTATTTGTAAACGCTTGGACATTTTTATGTCCGGAGAAGTCCGCTTATATATTAAATTTTTATCATATAAATACTCATTTTTACATATTCGGTCTTATAAAGATTGTCAATTTTGATAGATTTTCACACAAAATTAAAAAAAAAAAAAAAAAATCTCCATACATAGAGGGATTAACTATATGATTAAATAGAGGGATGATCTATATGACTTAAATTCAAAGAAAACTAGTTTTGGATTAAGGTTGAGAAATGGTTGAATAATATTAAAAACAATCGGCCAAAAAAATTAGAGCATTCGTGTAATTCAAACAACTTTTAGTGGTGAAATATTTGGTTTTTAAACCACCAAAAAAATAGATAAAGTATTGGGTCATACTCTCTGAGTCGCTTAGGCTTTCATGTAACTTGTGCCATTCTCCCTAGTTTAGTTTGTCGTTTCCATAGTCCCAAGACAATGTAAGTATAATTAAATCTGATAATAGGATTCAGTTTTTTGGCCTGGCCTTTCGAGGCCACTCTATAGTCAATATACTATAAACGATTCTTAATTAGTCAAAGGGTTAATTAGCTCGGATTTATAAATAATTATTTTTGTGTGTGTTTCATAACCACAGGCCGAGGAGACAGAATCTCCTGAATATGATCAATGTAAGGTACTAATGCATGTGACTACATTGTTAGTATTAGTTTATATACTTACATGCACGATAGTCAATATTATTATATGCTTCTATCTCATTATTCATCAATTTCAAATTATTGCTGCACCATTAAATAATTTAGAAGGTCTATTATAAATGTACATCAGAGTATTCAAAATACATTATTTTATTTCCAAATAGAGAAACTAATATTTCTTAAGAGGTTTCACAAAAAAATATCATTTTAAGGTTTTTGTATTATAAAGAGTGGAACTATTTTGAGGTATTAACAAAGGATAAAAGAAAAATATTCTCATTATTTTTTGACCGTGGTCTAATAACGCCTTTTATGAAACATATATAGTATATTTTCTGATGATATTCCTTAGTATTTATATAATTTTTTTTTTAAAAGAACGTTAATATAAATTTCAATAATGTTTTAGCTGATATGCATTAGTGTCAAATCTTCTGTATACACGTGCTAATCTCAATATTAAATTAGTGTTTGATAAACCATGGATAACAAGTAATTGGCTCTTCAGTCCTAGGAAGTAAAGTACCCCCTAAATCCTTAAATCAATTAATTAGCAAAAGCTAATCACAAATTTTGGAGTTGTACTCCAACATGAGTGATTCTTGGCATTGTGTTTCCGAACCAAATCTTTTTCTCAGTCCTCGTAAGCTGCCACGTTAAGACAAACGATGCTGCCTAGTTCCTTCTTAAAAGTATGTGATATATCAAATAATCCATGTAGTTCACTTCTAAGTTCTAATGATCTTTCTTTACCCACGTTCTATTTTTGTTTAATCTCTTCTTTAATCCCTTCTTGACGTCATAGTTTTTTTTTGTGTTATTAAATCTAAAGAACATTAGAAACTGCATTAACTTTTAATATGTCAGAGAATTTTAGATACATAATACTAACAACACCTAAGACTATCTTCAATCCCACTCTTTATTTTGCTTTCAAACTTTCTTTTGAGTAAAATATTCTGCAATACTATTCTATTTTTAATTTTAAAAAAAATTGTTTTTGTTTAACTCTTATAAAACAGAGTTACTCTGTTTTTACTCTGTGTTTAAGAAAAAAATAGAGAAATGTGTTTAAGATGCTCTATATATATTACAGACATAATATCTTTTTTTTGTTAAAGAATTACAGACATAATATCATTGTAACGAAATATAGCGAATTAATATTTTTTTAATTAACAAGGTAGACTGGCCAAGGAACATTCGATACATTCAGTTTAAAAAGTTATGAATGTGCATAACATATAAATGGCGACCAAATTGATGTATATGCTAGAAGAAAAAATAAGAATGATACGTTTGTCGAATAAAAAGATCGACCTAGTTAAAACGTAATGCAACCAATATGTATATATCTTAGAAATGAAACTATAGTATATATCACATAAGTGGATCGATCTCCCATGAAGACAGGGATTTCTTAAGAAAATAAGTACAAATTAACTAATATATGATTTGCCCAAAAATAAAAACTAATATATGAGAACTGTTGAAGTGTCTCAAGTGATGTGAGTTATTCACTTTGGTAGTTTTGTAAAGACAAAAAAAAAAAGTTTGTCGTGCCCTTTGAATTACTTAAAAAGAGAGTATATTCCATCGCATTATTTTACTAGTTTTACGTGGATACGAATCTCTATTATCGTATCTTACTAATCAACTATATTATTAGATTAAAAAATTTGTATAATTGTAGTTAGTCCTTCTGATTTGGTAATACTTGTTTTACAATTTTATTTTGCGGTTTCAATTGTTTGTGTTGGTCCTTCACTACTTGGATGAGTGAAAAAAAAAATAAAAAAATCATTTTTTCGAGTGTTTTATAAGACTTAAGATTGTTTTGGAGTATAAGTGAATAACGAACGGTGCAAAGGTGGAAGAATTGGTGACAATGTCATGGAGAGAAGAGAGAAGCATCATATTAAATGATAAGTTTCTAATTCTTGTAAAGACTTTTCTTATTGGCTACAAATGGTTGCACAAAATTGAATAGGTTGGAAACATTAAGTTGAATAAAATTGGGTTGAATATCATTCAACTCATTCATCTCTAGAATTGTGGATGAACAAGTTGAACATTTTTCTTTTGCAAATTGTTCAATTTTTCAATTTTTTAGGTTGAATGGGCTAAATAACTTTTTCAACTTTTTCAATTCAAATAGTGAAAATTGGCTGAATATTATTTTTTAACTTCTTCAACCTCTTAAATTGTGCAACCATTTGCAGCCATTGTTGTTGTATCAATCTGAACTTTTGGAAACTTGAATCATTTCGTTTTCTCGAAGATCATATTATAGTGACAAATCTTTTATCCTTAATAAATCTTTTTAGACTTTTTTATTTTTATTATTATTATTTTTGAAACATCATATAATCTCGATTTTTAGCAAGTTGGAATCATTAGTCAACTACCACTTCATCAAACAGCCCGGCCTCAACTCCCTCTGCGTTGTTATTGTTGCCATTAGACACTGCTATTGTGCGCTCCCTAGCCCTTGTCGCCTCCAAATCCCAATCAGTCTTATATATCACCACAATCATGCCAATCAAACATGTGACTTGTGCAGCAAACATTCCTATCCAAAATCCCTCGATCCCAAATTTAAACCAAAAAACTAAAATTAGTCCCACTGGTAACCCAATCCCGTAAAACGTCACCCCAATAATGATAACTCTGATCATCGGCCTCGCAGATCCTTTAAGAATACCGCTTCCCATTGTTTGCAAGGAGTTCACAAACTCACAAAATCCAACGATTGGTAGAGCCTTCACAATCATTTTAATAATAACTTCGTCATCAGTGAAATATGTAGCCCATTTTTCTCTAATACAGAGAATGAACGTGAGAGCAATGACCCCTAGTATAATGCTAAGAACAAATCCGGCAAAGGCAACTCTTTTCGCGTTCTGTGGATGGTTAGAACCAAGCTCATTTCCAACCCGGATTGAGACTCCTAAGCTCAAGGAATGATGGAAAATGTACACAAGCGCAGTGATTTTGATGATAATTCCCATTGACGCAGTGCATGCTTGAGAGTCTGAGAGGAAGCAACATAATAAAATCTCAATCTCATAGTACCACCACTCGAGAAAAACGGAAAAACAATTTGGTATTGCAAGAGATAGTAGCTTTTTCCATTCTCTCACACTATCTTCATTTGTCTCCTCATAAATCTCCTCATCCTCGTCCATAGCTTGATTTTCTTTGAAAAAATAGTTGGAGAGAAGGATAAAAGCAAATAGGGTCAAATCCGACAAAAAACTACTCAAGGCAATACCTTTGATTCCCATATCAAGATACTTCACAGAAATTACTGTCATTAGGATGTAAAGGAGAGTCGCGATCAGTGTGCAGAAAAATAAAGAAAGAGTTTTCGATTGGATCCTGAGATAAACTCTTAGTGGGTGTAAGAAACACTGCATCAAGAGATCTGGAATGGAGCAAAGCAGAAAGATGTAAACTTGGAACGCGAACTCCTTATTTTGTGTCATCTTTGAAAGAATTTTTTCCATGGGGATCCATAATAGAATTATGGAGAGCGAAAACACGAGGAGGAGGATGACTCCTCGCTTGATAGTGGCGAAGATGTATTTATAACATCTAGCACCAAAGGCTTGGGAGCATATAGATTCAACACCTACGATTAAACCAGAGAAAATAGAATTTCCAGTGATGTTCGCAAATGCAATGGCAAAGGTATAACCAGCCAAGTTAGTATTTCCCATACCACTCAAGATGGATAGAGAGACGAAAGAGCGAACATAGCGTAAGATTTCTATTAAGACCAATGCAGCAGAGATTATACCGACTTGTGTGACTTCGCTGTTGAAGACAGAGAGAAGGTACGCGTAAATTCTTAGAAGTCTTTGATTATAGTTTCTCGGGAGTAAAGGTTCTGTAACCTCCCCGCCGACAATATTTATTTGACTCATGACTCTTTTTGCTTTGTCAATGTCTATGAGAGAAAGACAAGATTTTAGGTGTGAAGAATATTGGTCAAGCTTTGGCTTTATATATATGAAAAAGCAATGTGAGTTTTCATATATTTAGTATACCATTTATGTCATGTGTTATATTTCTAGTCAACGTTCTGAATTAGCGTAATAAATTTATTACAATATTTTGATCTTGATGTAATATGGATATCCATTTACATCTTGATGGATATCCACATACATCTTGATGTATTGATATAAGAAGTCTGAAAATATGGAAGTCATAATCTATTATGTAAATATTATCAATAATAAGTATCATTTTTGATTTTCCTAAAGAGTTTAAAGCTTATTTCCAAAAGTTTAAATATTAGATTCGGTTGAAATATTGGTTCTAAATTGTTAAAACGATTTTAAGTATTTACATTATAAATCACAATTGTGTAGAATAATATGAATGGAGAAGAAGAGAGATTATTTTTTTTCTCATGAGAGATGATGACGTTACAATCTGGCAACCACGTCATCATCATCATCATCATCAAAGAGGTGTCATCCATGTCAGCAATATGTATGACTTCACACAATTTGATAACTTTAGGTATGAAATTTGAATATGTTAAAAGGTTAAGTATGTATTTACACATATACAAATGTTATGTATGAATTGAACACTTCGTAATTAAGTTAGGTATGAATTGGCCGATTTTCCGTCATAAATCCAGATCCGAATTGTTAAAAGTCGAATCAAGCGGATTTGGATCTACATCCTTTATATCTCTTCTTGGCTCATGATGGTGTATCACAATTTGTCAGGCCTCGCCACTGACTCTATAGTGCGTATTTTCTTGAGCATCATCTCCTTTTTTCTTCTTTCGTCCATAAGATTGTTGTCTTTGGTCTCATGTTTGTGGTTAGGATGGTATGACCCCTTTAGTTTAGACAGTTTTAGAGAGTGTGTTTGCCCTGCTTGGCCTTATGGTCGGCTCTAGTACTTGTTTAATAAATAATGATTTTTAACAAATAAAAATATATTTTAATAAATAACATAAGCACTTGAAGTTTTGTGGAATGAAATCAAGCGATTAGAAAACAAAATTTGGAACTTGTGAAATTTATAGCTTTTGATCACAAAGATGAATCTCTCTATTGTTTTCATCATACACTACAAAAATTTACATTAATCATCCCAACGATTACACTTCTTCAATAAAGAAAAAAAAAAGTTATAAATTAATTCAAAAGAAAGTCAATTTTTTGTTTTTTTTTGGTTAAAGATTCAGTCCTGCCTAATTAATTATATTAACCATCCCAGCCTCCACATCCTCTTTGTCGTCGTCACTGCTGCCACTATCCACCGCAGTTGTGAGCTCCTTAGCCCTTTTGGCCTCTAATTCCCAATCAGTCCTACACGTAGCTGCCATCATACCAATCACACACGTGATCTGCGCCGCGAGCATCCCTAGCCAAAGTCCTTTGAATCCTAAACCAAACCAAAACGCCATAACTGCTCCAACCGGGATGCCAACAGCGTAAAACGCCACCCCGTTGATATTAGCTCCAATCTTCGGCCTCGCGGAGCCTCGGAGAACCCCGCATCCCGTAGTTTGCGGGCAGTTCCCGAGCTCGCATAGGCCGACGATTGGTAGAGCCATGGCAGTTAACTTCATGATTTCTTTGTCATCTGTGAAAAACATTGCCCATGTGTTTCTAACCGAGACAGTGAACGTGAAAGCCGTGAACCCGAGGGCGATGCTGAGACCAAGTCCAACAATGGCTGCTTTTTTCGCCTTCTGCGGCTGGTTAGAACCAAGCTCGTTACCCACCCGAGTAGAGACTCCTAAGCTCAAAGAATGAGGGAAGATGTAAACAAGAGAAGTGATTTGGATGAGGATTCCCATTGAAGCAACGCTTGCTTTAGGGTTTAAGAGAAACCCACAAAGCAAAATCATAATCTCATAGCACCACCACTCGAGACAAACCGATATACAACTCGGTATAGCGAGACAGAGTAGTTTCTTCCATTCTCTCACACTATCTTCATAACTCTCCTCTGTAACCTTCTCGTCCTCGTCAACACTTAGCTTATCTTCCAAGAAATAGATGTAGAGGAAGAGAAAGACCACAAGGTTGAAGTTAGAGACAACACCACTCAAGGCGACGCCTTTAATCCCCAAACCGAGATAACTCACAAACAAGAACGTGACTGGCAAGTGGAGAAAACTCGCAATCACTGTACAGATTGATAAAGGAAGAGTCTTTGACTGTGTCCGGAGATAAACTCTTAATGGGTGTAAGAAAGATTGAGCTACAAGATCTGGAACAGAGTAAAGCAAAAAGATATGAGCTTCGGACGCGAGCTTCTTGTCCTGTTTCAACATTAGAAGAATCTTCTCCATGTTCATCCAAAGAAGTGTAACAGGGAGAGACGTCACAAGGAGGAGGATGATTCCTCTCCTAATAGTCTCACGGACGTAGCTATAGCGTCTAGCTCCGAAAGCTTGAGAGCAGATAGATTCAACTCCCATGGTTAAACCAGAGAAAAGAGAGTATCCGGTGATGTTTGCGAATGCGGCGGCGAGAGAGCCACCGGCGAGAGTGGCGTCTCCGAGACCGCCGAGGAAAGACAGAGAGACGAAAGAGCGGACGTAGAGGAAGAGACCCGTGAGAACCAATGGGTAAGAGATCTTGCAGATTGAGATTGCTTCATAGACGAAAACAGAGAGAACAGAGGAATAGTTTTTCAGAAAATGTAGTTTCTGAAGAGAGCTTTTTTGGAGTAAAGGTATTGTATGTTCGTCTCTGACACGATTTGATTGACTCATTCTTTTTGTTTCTGTCAATATCTCTCTGTGTGTGAGAGAGAGAGAGAGAGAGAGAAGGAGAGAAAGAGAAAGAGAAGATTTTTATTTTATTTGCAGGTGTGAAGAAGATTGAGGTTAAGCATTTGGCTTTATATAGAGAAAAGTAGTGGGGGGGATGATTTTTTAATATTATTTATTCTTACTGTCTCATTTTGTTTTAAGTCATGTTTTTTGTTTTTATTTATTTTTCAAGTCAAATTACACGCTTATAAAACATGGATTTAAATTTGTACACATGTATTACATTTCATTTGAATTTGCATAAATAAGTAGTTAGCTATAACTAATTCTTTTTTACATATGATTTTACTTGGTTTTTAATATGTAAAATAACATTTAGTAGTAGCATATGTGTAAAATCAATAATATTAGTAATTCAAAGCCGTGAAAAATACCTTTTTATCATATATTTTAAAAATTTGTGTTCATGTAAAAATATTGAAAAGAGGTATTAGAAAATGGATGTTTTTGAAATTTTCCAAATATTATATATGGTTAAATATGTGTACACGAAATTTTATTTTATTTTAATCTATACAGTAACATATTTGATGCATGTATATAAATCAATTTGTGATTTAAGAAAATAATCATTATATACTATTTTTGTCTTGTATTTATTTTTAGTCAAAGTCAAAGTATATGATATTCAATGTAATTAGATACAGATATATTTTTATCCCATTTAATTTTATACGCGTTTTAGTTTATTAAAGTTAAATCTGTTCACACGGTTTTTACTCAGTTTAAATATGTAAAATAAAAACGAGGTAACAAACATAAAAAAATCAATATTTTCAGTTTTTTTTTTTGTCATGTCTCATAATATACAAATCAACTGAGAAAATTCAATGTAAATATAAATATATGTATTATATCACCTTCGAATTTGTATGAACGTGTAGCTAATTATCGAGTTAGATAGCCAATATGTAGTCAAGAGATGACTTCGATCCCTTAAATTGTGCACTAGCGAATAGTATAGCTTGTTTGGGACTAAGATCTAGCCGTGACAAAAAAAAAACATGAGAACATTAGAATTGGTAACACTTTAATTTCACACGACTTAAAGGATACATTGGCATATGAAAAGACAAGACCCAACCAACTGAAACAAATGTTCAAAGTACGCAACAAAACAACAACAACAACAACAAAGTGTTGAAACTTTTCATCATCATGACAAATTAATTGTCCTTTGAATCAAACAAGACATGATTAGAAGTTTGTAAATTAAGTGACACGGAACAAGCAAAGGGGACGGGTCAAATTCTCATGTTTAGCATGCCACTAAGAGTACTTGACGAGTGCGATTTTAACCTATTCGAATAGAAACTTCGTTTATCTCTTTTTCTTTTAATTTTTTTCTTGGTTATTAGAACATCTTTTTTTTTGTTAATAACTTTTCAAAGTCGCAAGTTTTACACACGGTGTGTCCCACGCGTTGAGTTGAACTCAGACGACAGAAGTCGCCAACTGGAGTTGGAGTTTAAAAGACAAACTCAAAAAAAAAAAACAACAATATTCGAATTTGGACTAATTGAGTATGTGATAATATTTAGAGTAAACTTTCTGATCTACTTGTATAGCAATTTTTTTACTAAATTTTTACGAAAAGGGGAACATATATAAAAAAATATATAATGGAAGTTCGTTAAAATGCAATCTATGAAAGTGGAATTAGCCGGTCGGACGTTGACCAGACAAAATAGTGTTTCGACAAAATAGCGTTCAAAACAACACTGGAGAAGAAGAAGAAGAGAAAAAAAAAAATTGGTTTTGGGACCAAAGAACATGAAAGGAAGAGAACTTGTATTTTGGGACAAAAAAATAAATAAATAAATAAATCTTGCTATATATATCTTTATATTAGTGAGAGTTACAAAGTCTAAATTACTGTTTAAATATTTCAGTGCATTGAATTTGATTAACTATACCTTTGCATAACACAGTGTATAAAAGGGACTTAACATATCATATGCCATTATCCTTTTCCAGTTTTCCTATTTGCAAATCTGTTTTGTCCTTACTTAACAAATGTACTTAAGTTCCGGCAGGACGAAGAAGACTTTTTTTAATTACATTGGTCACTCGTGTTTATATTGGATCATTTGTAGAAAACATCATGCATGCGGTTTACTAGTTTCCCTAAAGTCTTACATGTCCCATCATTTTAAGTCGGGATAAAAACTAAGTATCATTGAGAGACGTATTAACTTGTGATCCAATTATGTGGGAACACTTATCAGACACGCTAATTCACAAGTTGGATCTTATAAGTAACCTCCTTGCTACACAACATATATATGCAAAATAGACATTAGGTTTGTTCATTTTTTCACCGCAAGTATTTGTGGCTGTAGCGAACATTTTTTATTCGTTTGATCGATGTATGTTGTTGTAGCAAGCTACCAGCGAATGTAACGTTTTGCGATTATAAATTTAAACGTTGATTTGATATAGCAATTTAGTTTCCGCAGCCGCTTGCAGCAACCAAACAAACGTGTTCATTCTCTTTTTTTCTATATATATCATATTGGTTTGAAATTGAACTTACGGCTTTAAGACCTAAAATTAGGGATAACTTTGATGATAAAATGTGTACTTTACTGATATACTATAGCTATTAGAGTCGGGATTACGTGAGTATTACCATAATCTTAATGATATGCTAGCATCTCTTTCACAACAATACAATTGAATAAAATATAAATTTCATAACATTTATATCTTATCTATTTTAATAAACTGGAAGAAAAAAAAAGAAAAAAAAAACATTTTAACCTTTTAGACTCTTATCAATACTTTTGGAAATTAATTGAAAAAGGGAGGTGGTGGTGGTCATGGTTATCTTGTCGACGACGATGGCAAGTGCAATTTTTTCTGCCGTACCATTTTGTCCTATTATACAATTGTTTTTATTTTCTAAGTTTTATTACTACGTTGTCCATATGTTGACAAAGCTACTACTCCTAGAATATATTTGATTATCACATGAAAATATACATTTTTATTTGTCTATTTTTGCTCTTTTCTTAAAGTGCAATTTGGAGTCAAATACATATAAAACGCCTTTCGGTAGATCTCATTGATCTGATGAATGTTTTTCTACTATAAAGAGAAGAGAACCTTACTGCTTATTACACGTGTTGCTATGATCTTGATGTCTTTAACATATTATACAATGGATCAAAAATGAGAAACAAAAACAAAGTAAAAATTGCGGCTGAATAAACAAAGGAAAATGTTGATCTTTAAAATATCTAAAATATCAAATACATAGAGATAAGTTTTGTGTGTGTGTGTTTTTTTTTTAGTTTTTTCGTTTTTTTGGTTCGTTTGTTGTGTTTGTCGACATCTAGTTTGTTCAATTCTGATCACTAGAGAAAATTAATGATCTTGATTTGGACTGATAAAAGTTCGATTAGAATTGGGGTTTGGTTACTCTACATGTGCTCGAATCTTTGATTGCTCTCAAAATTAATTATTGGTAAAAAAATAAAAAATATTATGTATAAGTATTTAGGTTTTGAGTGGATATTGTGATCAATGCCAACAAATCCGTCAGCGGTTCAATCCATTCTAAATTTTAGAGATGGATCACAAATTGTTGTTTGACTTAATTTATTTCACTATAAAAACGACATATCGTTAGCCTGCAATAATCTTTTTAAATTCATATTATATTTACGGACTACAATTTTATAAAGAGAAAAAAAAAACGGTTTAGTTCATTAACGAAGTTGTGCGCACTAACAACCATAACAATTCAAACTCTTAATGTTTGAAAATAAAAATTATTGGATAGTGTAGTAGATTCGTTTCACTCAAAACAGTGTTTCATTTAGTTGAAATCCAATCATCAACATTGACTATAGTTGTAGATTCGTTTCACTCAAAGAACATTTGCTTTCATTTGGTTGAAAACGAATCATCATTCATCAACATTGACTAAAGTTGGAACACATTTCATTATTTTTAACTTAAAAGATTTCAAAAGTGTATATGATGTGTCAATGAATATCAAAAACTAAATTCATTGGATTCTAGAGATAAATACGCAAACCGACTTTTCGTTCCCCTTTTCCCAACTTTTCATTCTCCTTAATCACAATTTATCTTTCCACCTAATGACAATATTTTAATGAAATGTGATTAGTTGTAAACTTGTGTAATCTATGAGTTTATGACAGGTTGATTATACATAAATATTAAAGAATTTAAAAGAGAACAAAACAAAACTTTGTCTTTAATATTTCTAGCCGTAACATAATAAAAAAAGAGTTTGTTGTCTATACTTTAACTAAGTCAAAAGAATCGACTTGCATGTTGGTGGTAAAGCAGCACAATATAAGTTGAAGCCAAAGTGTGATTCATTCATTCACCAATTCATTCATCATTTTCATACGACTAACACATTCACCGGTCCATATTTATTCAGGGACCATCACATTCTTTATAGTATTTTATCATATAACATTCTATACAAAATCTAAGTAAGTCGGCTAAATTATTCAATTAAGAGCAGAGAAACATACAGTTTCTTCCCACCTTTTCAAATTCAATTTGACTTCCAAAAGCTTTCCTTATTATATTGGAAATATTTATGTGATATCTTTGGACGACTTGGTGACGTTAACGTTGCATGGTAGGGTGTTTCAAGAACACTAAACTTGTTGGGAAGAACAAAGCTAGGAGTTAATAATGTCTCCATCTATCAATCAAGATCCATATTGAAGATGATGATAAAATGGTTAACGTGAGATTGCGTTCAGTGGTTGAATTGTGTTAGTGATCAGTGATCGTTCGATAAGATAGAGATAATGTGTGTGTGTGTGTGGGAGTTGCGTTTCTAGACTCTCATGTTTCAAGAAATGAGACACTTCTCTTTATCTTTTTTACTTTTTCTAGTAGTTTTAGCCTAATAAGTAAACCCCACTCTTTACCCACACCTCTCCCTTATAGTAATGTTTCTGCCTAACTTCCCTCTTTTTCATCCTCATTTTTAGCTTACCCATTCACATAAAACAATACCAATATAATTCTTTTTTATATATATTTTTTAAATGTATTTATCACCTTATTTGGTTTCTAGCTATATGTGCATATCTAACCACTCACAATTCTATTGAATCTCATGTTTTACTTACTGTTGTTTTTAACCGTTCGTTTGGTTGAATGGATGAACCAAGATCCTTGGTATATGAATATAATGTATGTTTCTATGGTGTCTAGCTTTCATATTTACATTTACATCGTTTCATCTAACAATACTTTGAATATTGAGTGGTTGAACTGAAATCTTTGGCATATGATTATGTTTCTATGTTTTCACTCTCTTTTTTTGTGTCAGAGGCCTATGATCACTGATTGGTATATTTAAAACGCTTTAAAACATTTACGTGAAATAACCATAAAGAAAAATGTTGCTTCAGTGTTTGGTTTTTTACAATTTGCAAAGCTATTTTGTGAAACACACAATGTTCTAACAATATATATCACAAAGTTGCAGAATAATAAAGTGTAAAAACTGTGAATGCAACGAAAATGTTAAAATCAGGCTAGACACATTTGAGAACGTAAGTTAAACTAAGCTTAAGCTTCTGATCTCGTCCACTATCTTTAGCTATATATATATATTTTTAAATGAGAGATTCTAATAAAGTCAGATAAATGTAATCCCAACTAGAGGAGTAGCTTTTAACAATACTACAACAATAAGCGAATTGTATGAGTCAAAATAAATAAGTTTACAAAAGCACTTGAACAAAGACTCAAAAAGAAGACACTAAAATAACTAAGCATGACATAGCAAAGACTTCAGTTCAGATACGGCTGCTTTGAGTGACATTTTTTGTTTGAGAATCTGACACAATCATCTGTTTGGTGGATCCAATCATTCCTCTGCTGGGGGCGAACGAGAGGGGCTGCTTCAGTGTCGAACCACAAAAGATACATGTAAGTATATGACGATATTGGATAACATTCAAGATGTAAATCTAAAGATAGCTTGAGATGTGGTACCTCTCGCGTATCGGGCTTTCTGCACCATCATATCCTCTTCCTGGTTCTTCTTCCATAATTTGTCCAGGGCTTTCAACTTGACCATTCTCAGGGCTGGACTTCGACCTTGACCTTGACCTCGATCTCTCCCTCCTCTTCTCATATGGAGGAGGGCTCCTGCTTTCACCACGTTCCTTTTTTGGACTTCGGTTCCTCACAGCTCCATTCTCTGGGCTAGCCACCCTCTCCCTCCTACGGTCATCCCTCTTGTAATCAGGGCTAAGTCTGGCTCTCTTGTAAGGGCTCGGGCTGCGTCGTCCGCGACCATAATCAGGACTAGTCCTTTCCCTCCTGTGAGCTACTGGACTAGCACCTCGGCCATAGTCAGGACTTCCCCTTTCTCTCCTGTAAGGACTCGGTGACCGCCTTCTCCTATCAGGTGACCTATCACGCCGTCTTTCAGGACTGTATCCATTCCCTCTCGCATCATCATCTTTCATTGCATACTCCACTGAGATCACATTATCCATCAGCTTACTGCAACAACAACAAAACAGACAAGAGAAGCTGAAGTAAGGAAAGCATTCAGGACAAATGAGAATGTGAAATTGGACAAGAAAGAAACCTTGAATTTGTAGCATCCAGTGCTCTGGTGGCATCTTCTTGAGACTCATATTGGATAAACGCAAAATTCCTTCTGATTCTAACATTTACGATTTTTCCATATGGCTCAAAGTGTCTCTCCAAGTCCCGAGTCCTAGTGCTCTGTGCATCAAAGTTGATCACAAAAAGAGTCTTGGACGGTCTCATGCCAGACGATGATCTCCTTGAACCACCTGGTCTTCCAGCAGCTCCACGATCATTCTATACCAAGTATTAGAATTTTAAGTTCAATCACTAAATTTATCCTGATATTAGCAATCTTAAATAAAATTCAATTTTCTACCTTTGTCCACTCAACACGGAGTCTGCGTCCCGTGCGGCCAAATTCATAGCGATCAAGCGCTCTGATGGCATCTTCAGCATCTCTCTCGTCTTCCATATAGACAAAAGCAAACCCTGCAAAAAGAACCAAGAGGCAAAAATCAAAACATAGAACAGTCATATAAAGTAAACCAAGTAAATGAACCTCCTTCAAAAGGATTTCTAACATACAGACTCCTCCTTCCAAATAGTCTTTACTACTTAGTACTTACTGTGACAAATATATTTGAACATTCTGTAGAACCTAAAAACTCTACAAACTATAAGTAGTTATACAGACCTTGCATTACGGAATTAATATGTCAAAGAAGAACAACTGAAAATGAGGAGGATGATCAGACGGAATTGTGAACAGAAATGTGGTGGTGCATTCTCCATATGGTTTGCTGCCTCTGCTGTGAGAGTTTGGTATGATGATTCTATCAAAGAGGCATGTCCAAGAGTAGAAAAGTCAAGAGGAATGAAATGCAACTAAGTCGAGTTTATGGGAACGTAGTGCCATTGCGCGGATGAGGAGACTCATTCGGGCAGGAAATGGATTATCCATATGGTCCATCAATGGGCTGGGTGGGAGAATGGGCATCCCAAGATCGAAATAAATCCTGCGCCAAAATCAAATTTTGAGTATGGCGGTTTTACCCTAAAATTACTCGATCTTTTTTCTCTTCTGAGGTAAGCGATGAACTTTATGCCGAGTGCTTCAAGTGGCTGGGCAGATGCTAGAATCAGATGACTGACAAACCAATGGCATATGGAACGTGGGATGCAGAGAGCACACTTTTAAAAGGACGGTTCTCCAGAGATTCTCGTGGAATGAGCGCATACGGAAATTTCAAGAACAATGCTATTGACTGAATTTCGCTTGTTCATCGGATTTGGAGTGGTTTACGAGACTTTCAATCCATCCAAGTTGACCAAAATAAAAAGAAAGAAAAAAACTAAGAGATGATAAAAAGCCAAGAGCCAAGACTTACCAGATTTCATATCAACCCTCTCGACCTTGCCATATTTCCTGAAAAGCCGCTCAAGATCACTCTCACGAGCATCATACTCAAAGTTCCCGCAGAAGACAGGCTTCATCTTTCCTACAAAGAGGCCACAGAAACGATTTTATAGCTCCTCTCAACAACATAAGCAACAAAAGATGTCTAGGAGATACCAAACCAGAGCACCCAATACACCCAAAATAAAAAATTAAACACACACTCCAAAAGAGAAGCAACAACAAATTTATGTTTAAGATCATAGACAAAGAACAACATAACGGAGATGCCAAACCACATCAAGTTTTAGTCCAATATACTTCACAATTCCAAATTTAAAATTATAATCAAACTCAAAACCACAAACCATGAACCCACCACAGCAAATTTTGACCAAGTTTTAAAGTTAAAAACTTTAATTCATCACAGCCCATAACATTTCAATTTATCAAATATACATAAAGATTTCAAATTGATAACATATTCAAACTCCAAGACATCAAATATAGATAAAGATTTCAAATTGATAACATATTCAAACTCCAATACATCAAAAACCTCAGCTAAAGTACATCCAGCTACGATAAAACCTCAGATCTGAATTCAATTATATGAGAAACCCAAAGCAAGAGAAGCTAGAGACAACAACAAAAGATTCAAAGAAGAAAATGAAATAGATATCGATTTCAATTTGACGAAACAAGAAGAGAAAGGAAGAGAGAGACCAAACACAGAGATGAAAATTAAGGTTTCTAGAACTACAGACAAGAACAGCTGTTTCTGAGATTACCTTAAACTTGAGAACTTGAAGAAGATCGTACCGGCCGTCGAAAGTTCAAAGTCGAAACCCTAGAGAGAGGTACACAAGCTTCTTAGATTTTTTTTTTTTTTTTTGCTTTCTTCGAGGCTCCACAGATAATAAAAGAGAAAACAGATTATATATATTTTATTTTATTTGTTTCCTTTTTTTGTTTGGTAATTTTATTTGATTTTGTTAATATTAAATTCAAGCCTAAAGACTCTTTTTTTTCGTTAATAACAAGGACCACTTTGGACTAAAAATGTAAATTTCTTTTCACAATTAAGATTCTTGCAATAATTCAATAAAATACAAAAGTATATAAGAAAAAAATCATATATATACTCGTTTTACACTATCCTTCATTGGATTTGTAATTACATCATGATTGGATTTGGTTCATCATCATAAACTTGAGATACAGTTCATATAACTCCCATAGCACTAACCCTATAATGGTGTCTCTTGCGAGGCTCTTTAAAACCTTTTGAATCCAACCGTTTGATGATGTAGTACCACCTTTATATGAATCTCCTCTTCCAACCAAATCTCTAAACCGGAGATCCCCTGAGTCTGATACTAATGCGTAGATCACGCCATTCATGTGTCCTTTCCCGATCACTCCCACCACTGTTTTGCAACCGTTCACTGCCTTACTCCTCTTCAACGACCAAGCTAGGTACTGTCAAAGCAAAAAAACATTACTTCATCAAGTGTCGACAACATTTAGTCCACACATTAGCTCTGTTTCGGTTGTTATGCTTACGGTGTCTCTTTCGTGAATCAGAGGCAGTAAGAGTGATGGGTATGAGAAACTTAGCCGTTCGTATAGCTGCAAACTTCCATTGCTTTCTTCTGTCTCTTGTTCCTGTTGTAATGCATACACAAACTTTTAAAGTTACAACTGATCATATTCTTCAAAATCTAACTGAACCCGAGTTGGGGAAAGAAAACAAAACCTTAAGCTCAGCTGCAGATATACTGGATGAAGATGTGATTGCTCGAGTCACAGCCATCACCAAATTAAGTTTCTCTGCCCATTTCAAAGAGTTCCAAGCCCTTTCGAGCTACACCATTAAAAGAGCCATTAGACCCATATGTAACTACAGAAACAATCATTTTGTTGTTAGACATTACTGTGATTTCAATGGGTCGGTCTCCAAGAACCAGCTGTGCACCAACTTCCTCAGAAGCTATCCGAGCAGCACGAAACTGCAATAATGCTTAGTCAAGAACATTCTCAATGTCTAGAAACGAACCCTTAAATCATATAGATACTCAAGAATACCTCATCACCAAAAGGTCGGTCAGCAACAGAAGATAACTTAGAAGAGAAAACCGCCAAGAGAAGTCGCAAGGCCAACGCAGTTTGGCCTCCTATGATCATCCCAACCAACACACACCCAAAAAATCAACCATTGAAGCAAAAGCAAGTACATGGATAAAGAAAGGTGAAGTCTTGATTAGATAGTTATACCCAAGTCTAAGCTCCGGCCAACAGCACCAAGAAAGCCTGTTCCGGTCAACGACAACACTCCGGATTTTAAGTTTTGGTCAGCCTCTCCTCCAACACTCGAAGTATACATAATCCCAGCTCTGCAATATCAACATCAAGCTCTGCAATGTGTTACTGTCAGATTCTTTCGTTCCCAAATTACAATTCCATCACACAACACTCAATTTGTACCAAACCTAATTCAATTCACTCTCTTGGCAACAAATTCTCAAACTTTCCCCTAAAAGAATCGATAAATCCATCAAATTTCACATAACCCTAATACAGAATTTGACTTTCCTGCTACGACAGAGCTCGACGGCGACATTATCAGGTTTCACCGTACGAACAACACGTTCGACGACGGAGGCAGACTCCGGCGAGATATGAGAAGTGCCCACAAGCCAAATCGACTCCGGCTCAACGAACTCCTTGCGCCAAGCTGGAACAGGGCCAAAGCTCTGTTTCTGGACCAGAATCAAAGTCCCGTTATCAGCGAGGTCGAGCAACTCCGGGAAAGTTTCAGCGATTGCGGCGCGTGAGTCCGACGCAATCTCGTTGCGGAAATCAAAGTCCGGCGGAGGAGTTTGCACGGAGACTGAGACAGAGACTTTGGTGGGTTTGAAGAAAGGCTTTGAATTTAAGGGAGTGAAGAAGGGGAACGTTACTGTACTTGGTAGGAGTTTCATCGGATGATCGAGAGAGAGAGAGAGATGAGATCAAAGCCGAGATTTTTCTTGACTTCAACAAATCGTATTTGTGAAAAAAAAAGATTGAATTTTTGAATGGTTTAGATTACATTTTGAGTGTTTTGTGATTTTACGAGGATGACGAGAAAGCACGTTAATGGCTAAAATGATACTTTGACGTTTTGACATTAGTATAGAGATTATTATGTATGAAACACCCACACATGAAACTATCCAATTCAGTTTAGTAGATTCTCAAATCTTATTTAGTTATTTTACCTTGAGATTTTGCATATGTCATCATAACATCTTAGCTCTAAGAACAATTGTATTTGTATCTTATCCGTTACACACGTTCTAAGCAATATGGTTAAACCATACACCAACAAATTCATGGTTAGTAAAACAAGTGGCCAGTGGTCACTAAACTTACTTTGGGGCTTGACCACCATTGACAGATCACCGGAAAAGTTACCATAGCACGTTTAGTAGGCAGGCTATTAAGAGGGACAATGTGGCATAGCACATGATGCTGGACACTGAACAAACAAAACATGCAGATAAGGTAGCAAGATAACAGAAACATGATGTAAAAGTAATTAGTCAAATCCAAGAGCAAAGAAGCAAGGAAGAGCTAAAGGACCGGAGGTTGTCGTATGGTGATAATGTGGCTTTCTTTTATCTTTCGTACAATGGGTAGGGGCCTGAGTATTACTCTTTAGTTATAAGATCTCTCTATGTATACTTTACATTTTCTCTAGTTATAGTCATGTGTGTCCAACAAGGATTTCATATATACAAAAACAGTTGTGTAGACGTAGGATTGAAGATGGTCATAGTTTAATACCTAACATGGGGTGAAGGTGATTGGAGTTGGAGGAGGATGGTGAGGATGATCTCATATCATATTTTTGAGTGATATTGTGGGCTGTAATAAAATATGAAAACAAATAAAATATGAAGAACAAGCCTATAGGAGAGTGGTACCGTGAAACTTAATCGTGTGGGACATTTTCATTCTCATAATACATACAGTAAAGAAGACTCGTCGTCTTACCAACGATTTGGCTGGCTTCCCGTAAGTGCTCACCATTACCCCAAATCCAATTATGAAAGTATATATCTTGACTTTTTTTATTTTGTTTCTGTCATTTTATTGCCTATTTAGTATTTGATTAACTATTTGAATTGTCGTTTTTGTAATATTGAAATCGCGCAAGGTACGTGTTCGGTTCGCAGCCTAGCTTTTATATTTTTTTTTTCCTTTAAAAACGTTTGGCAAAAGTGGAATGAATCGAACATACCTTTTTGTACAACTCATTAAGTGGAGAGGTTGATACTTAATCCGGAAAGGGTATCTCCATTCTCCACTAATCCTCCAAACAAAGGATTAACAAAAATTTCTGATTTGTTCAATTTTGTTCTACATTCTTACAAACTACTAGGTTTTTTAAATACAATTTGGAATATTAAGTGCCAAGGTGTATACAATTTTATTTGTTCAATGACCGTTTTGTTGTTTAGACTTTGAATAGTGACATGTGGTTAGAAAAATCACGACAACCAATCATCATCCTTCACAATAGTTTTTGAGCAATCAAAATGACAATTAAAATGTTAAAATGTACTATAATTTAATGGAATGGTTTTTTTTTTTTTTGTTGTAAACTCGGTGTACAACATTTTTGTAAAACATTATGATTCGATTTTGCGCATAATTTTTTTTCAAATAGCATTATTCTCATGTGATCAAACTATAAATATTATCTTTGCGCAATATAATACACCATTTAAAAATGTCATTGTGTCTTTTTTTTTGCTCATTCGAGCCATGGAATAGATGTTTCTTTTGTCCTATGACCATCATCAATTATGTACTGTTCCATTAGAACTCTACAACCTTAAAATATATTAACCTTTTTCGTGTAGCTGAATAGCTCATTCAGTCATTCATAAGTCAAGCCACTTAACATTATTTTACCTCAAAGGCTCAAACCAATAGAAGAACCCTCTCTACCCATTATGATATATAAAAGCCGGCAGTTTATAAAAATACTATTTCTTATTGTCACAATAAATTACTACAAAGTGGTAACAATGGTCGTCGAATCAATAAGTGTATAGTTTGCGATTTGGTCATCCCTGTCTCTACATGGGGTTCACAAATCTACTCTAATTTTTTTTTAATAACACACTAGTATTAAAATAGAATATGATCAATTGAGGAATGAGGTAAGAGGAAAAATGCAATTTCTCTTTATAACAAATCATAAAGAAATAAAATATCATATAAACAAATCAAATCAAAAAGTGTATATATAAATGTGTAACAGCTAACATACATCATTCAACTAAAAAACGGAGCTTCTCACGAATTTGCCACGGTTTTAATATCTCTCTAATCCAAAAAAAAAACCACATCATATAAATATACAAACACACTTTGATACAAAAACAGAACACAACAAACATTGTTATTACATTAGTTTTTTTAACTTTCAGACAAAACACATTAAGCTTCTTTAGTTATGTCGAGTACTACTAATTCTCCGACCACCGGGAACCAAGAAACGACAGTTCGTCAAGTCTCGATCGCATTGCCTTCTAAACCTTCTGATCAGTCTCCTCAATCCTCACCAAGCTCGTCTTCTTCGCCGAGACCATGTCCTCTCGTCCCCGGTGGATCTCCGGCGAGGAGAACGACTACTGGATTATCCGGCAAACACTCTGTTTTCAGGGGAATACGGCTACGAAACGGGAAATGGGTATCGGAGATCAGAGAGCCACGTAAAACGACGAGGATATGGCTCGGGACTTATCCAGTACCGGAGATGGCTGCCGCTGCTTACGACGTAGCGGCGTTGGCTTTAAAAGGCTCCGACGCGGTTTTGAATTTTCCCGGTTTGGCTTTGACTTACGTGGCTCCGGTTTCTAACTCTGCTGCGGATATAAGAGCGGCTGCTGGTAAAGCAGCGGAGATGAAGCAACCGGATCCGGGTGAAGCTGAGAAGGTACCGGAACCGGGTCAACCCGAGAAAGAGGAGGAAGTAGAAGTAGTAGAAGAAGAAGGGTTGTGTTCGTTAGAGTTTATGGATGAGGAAGCGATGTTGAATATGCCGACTTTGTTGACGGAGATGGCTGAAGGTATGTTGATGAGTCCACCGAGGATGATGATAACTCCGACGGTGGATGATGATTCGCCGGAGAATCATCAAGGAGATAATCTTTGGAGTTACAAATGAGATTTTTTTTTATTTTTATTTTTGGGGTCGCTGTAATGGGGAAAGTCAAATAGGTTATTAATATGATCTATTAATATTTAATATTTTGAAGAAAAAGTTGCATATTTTTTGTATTTGTTATATGATTTTGAGTTTTCTTTTTTCCATTGATTTTCTAAGTACGATATATAGAGTTCTGCTAGTCCTAGAATTGTATTTTATCCTTAATTTTTGGTCAATTCTTTAGGCTATTTTATATAGAGAAAGACCTTTTTTAAGAACTATATATATATATACTAGAAAGTTGCCCACGCGATGCGTGGGTTATATATGCAATATTAATTTGAAATATAAATTGAAAACTACATTTGTATAGTTTAATATGTAATTGTTAATATAGAACATATTTGTGTACATTATAAACAATAAAAATAAATAAAATATATATTTGAAAAATATGAAACCGAATGAGATCAATACAAAGTAATACAGATTAGCACATATATAATATAGTAGGCAATTGTAAATTGATGTTAACTTTTTTTTGTGTGTACATTGTTAATATTAAAAGTAAACAAAACTCACATAATTTATGAGTATTGGTTTATCTCCCTAGTTTTTATCATTAGCTAGAAGTAAATAGAATTTTTAAAAAGATCAAGTTAAACTTTCCAAAATATCAATTTAAAATATTTCACCTGAGATATATGTTTTTTTTAAGACCTTATTTAGAAAAGCTTTTTCAATTTAGAAAATATTTCACCTGAGATATAAGAGCTTTTAAACAATAATTATATAAACAATAAAACAAAAGCCAAATGAACAGAGGAGGATTATTTGAGAAAAAGAAATTTGTTATTTTTCATTCTAATTGATTGGAAAAGAAGCACACATCTACGTAGATGAGATCCTTTTATATATATTAAGATAATTTTATGTAGAATTTGTTGAAGGATAAAACTAATATTG